CTTGTAGTTGCAGTCACGCTGCTTATACCTCCATTTACCAATTCTAACAATATCATTTGGGGGCTGGTATATATTTTTTTGAACAATGTCGTTTTTTATGTTGTAATTTCAGTTGGATATAATTTCACTTTGGTAGGTCACCGTGTCATCACACAGTGTGTGTATCGCCTATTGTTATGTTCTCTGTTTTTCTTGTGTAGTGCTGCTTAGGTGGGACACGGTGAGGCTCCCTTTTGCCAATAAAGTATTTTGAACTGTAACTTGAAGTGTTTGCGTCGTAAATATTATGAAACTGCCTGAATTACCGATTGTGAAACACAAAAACGATACGATTGAATTGGACATGTGTACTAAATGTTCGTAAGCTTCCACAATTATAGCTTAAATTCTAGACTAAGTGCAGAATTAATATCTGCCTTGAAGAATACTAGTAATTAGAAAGAGTACCGCTTGTTGACGGAACAAGCTCAATGCACTATCTAACACTATGCACCTCTAACTCCAGGTTGTGAAGACATGCGAGGGAGGCCATGTGCTAGCAACCTTTGATCTCAACTTGCAGATTTTATAATGCTTGTAGTGGCAAATGCCGTTTACTACAAGTACCCACTCGGTGATAAACAATGCGCAGAGGCCAGTTGTGTATAAACAAGACACCAAAAGTACCACTAATCAGGGCAACAAAGAAAGCCGCGCGCCGGCGAGTCAAAACAAAGACACATCAACTCACTGGATACAATGTGAAACACGTATATTTCGCCATACTTATTTTTTTTTTAAATATTTTGGAACATTGAACTTTTGAAAGTACATGAAATATTTGTACAGCACAAAATGTTAAACGAGAACTTAAATATTATTGTCTACTCCACGGAAACACAACGTTGGACTATTAGTCTGTATTTGGTTGGATATTTTTTGCTATTAACATTTCAACGGATGTACTTTTTCCACGTTTAGTCAACTGCATCGGCTACCAGTGGCGGATCCAGAGGGGCGCAGGGGGGCCATGCCCCCCAAACACATGACGATTCATATCATCTGGATTATGCATAGCTTCTCTGCGATTTTCGCTCCGTATATCTTAAGCGAAGCTTGCCCCCCCCCCCCCCCCAATACATTTTGCTGGTTCCGCCACTGTCGGCTACTTCAGTTAAACGGCGTGTTTCATTGTCAATTATGGTCTTGAACGACTTGTACGCACTTTCTAAATTAGCTGGTAGTTTCCCCTTCATAGTATTTATTCAGAATTCCGATGTCAGTCTGCAATTGTAAATTATAAAGTCGTCTGCCGGTTGCATCGACCATGAACTTCGTGGGATTACAACGAATGAAATGTGGCTCTATCTTCTTGCTGAAACTGTTGTTCACTTTTTCGTATGATTTCATTTTTACATCAAATTCAACCTACAGTCGCTTTAAATCTTTATAAATTTCTGTATTTCTTCATGTACCGAATTTAGCTCACTTTGTTCATCTTTGTGATTCTCGACTTCACCGCACTGTGCTGCTGATTCGCATTCGAAATTTGGACAGTTCGATTTCTTATGACCAGTCCCGCGAAGATGACAATTCGAGCAGCTTTTTAACGTATGTCAATATAAACCGAAGTTGTAGACTACCATATATTTCCTTGTACTCATCATATTCACACCTTTTCACATCTAACTCTTTTTTTTCATGTCTATTTCTATTTCTATTGGCTATTGGTAGACGCAACCCCCATTACTCGTGGAAACGACAATTCGGTAACATCAGTCCACAGTCCATTTGCATTGCGATAACAGAGTCGAATATATTCCATGCGACCAATGTACCTTATTACCTGTCGTAGCCGTGCTTTGAGGCCACAGCAACCCATCCGTATCAAGTCCACGGAATTCACGTCGATTGGTGTAATCTCTCCTCTCTACAGTAAAAATAATGAATGATGAGTTCAAGTTCGTCATCACAAGCTCGTTTTGACAGCGCCATATTTCTAAACTACGAAAGTTACTGCAACAACACGTGTCAGGCAATAAGAAAGTTTTTCTTAACAAAGTTCTTTTCCGGTTCTTATTTGCATATGTCCATTATATCACAGGGATATTCCCATTATTCTGTTTCCCACATAAACTTTCGATATGTCATTCACAATTCTTCTTTTGATTGATACGTGTGTGATCTTTTCCAAGTTTACATCCATAAGCAGATTGGGTTTTTATAAATGCAATGATGTTTATGGTGTATATATCAAACTTACACCACTTTTGCATAATGGTTTGGTCCCAATGCTCGTGTCTGGGCGAAATATAAAAAAATACGTCACACCGATTATTCTGATTTGCAATACTGGACAATT